AAAAAAAAAAAAAAAAAAAAAAAATTCAATAAGGTTGCAAATGAAAGGTAGTCAAGTTGGATTATTATGATATTTAAGCTCATTTCAAATAAATTTACATTCTAGGTAGTTTACCAATGATCTGTTGGTCAAAATAGAAGAAATTTAGTTTCTTTTAAATAAAATTTTGAGTTCGAATAATGTGAATGAAAAAATAAGTTTTGAAAGAGTTTCTCCTTATAGGGTCTGATGCAACTCAATTTCAAATTAATTGGATCCAATGTGTTTATCGATACCAAGAGGTTTGTACAAAAAAAAAAAATCTATGTAGTTTAGTTGTTTTAAACAACTTATGGATAAATAATGTTTAGTTGCTAATACTTAGTACTTATCATTTATAATTTAAACATTATTAATTATTAAATACAGACTATCAATTATAGACTCTTCAAAATAACTAAGCTAAATAGAATCTTATATTAATTTAAGTTTGGACTTGATATGAGTATTGACTAGAAATTAATCTTTTTCTGCACATGGTGAGAGTGGCATTCCCACTAGTTTCTTTTTCCACGAGGGCTTACCATAATACTCATGAGGCAACTTCTTGCAAGTTACCATGGCTTGCTAAAGAATGGCACCTTTACACTTAATTTAATTAGTGCTGCCCCTTTCTTTAAACCAACAATTTTTAATCACATAATAGACCATATCTTACCTTATTTAGATTTTTTTTATTTTTTTTTGTATATTAAAGATTAATTGTTTGGTGTTGTAGAAATTTAAACATATTATCTTAATCTTAAATTAAAAATTTTAAGTTAATGAAAAGGTCTTGAGAATTTAGAAGCCAGTCATGGTTCATCCACCAAACTTGGATCTTGTCTCTAGGTCTTTGAGATCCCGCTCAATACATTATTACATGGGAGATTTATTTATTAATTTTTTGGGGGGTAGATATCACATGGGAGATAAAGGTTTAGATAGAGGGATGCTTTGGTTACATAACTTTTTCTCTTTTCCCCTTTTAGGTTCTTCCAATTCAATCCAAATCTCTCTTTATTGAGTTTACTAATGAATATTGGTTGTCTACATCAGTGCTAGACTACTTAGTAAGACTCAAAAAGCTAAAAAATAAAAAAATTGACCTTTTAAGCATAAATTTTATCTTGAGTATGAAAAAGTTAGGAAAAAATTAAATTATGATAGAATTATTATACCTTGTTATTTAGTAAGACTAAAAAAAGTTAAAAACATAAAAAAACAAAAGACTTTTTAAGTCTAAATTTTATTTTGAGTCTTAAAAAATTAAAAAAAATTAAATTATAATAAAATTATTGTATTTTAAAAGTCATAAACATCTAAAGATATATTAAAGCAAAACCAAAAAATCTTTTTTGTATTCACACTGTGTATTCACATTTGTTCACACTTATAAATTATATAACTTTACCTTTTAAACCCTTGAACTGGATCAAAACTGGATTGGAACCAGTTCAAATACTCCTTTTCACACTACATCAAATTTAATAATAGAGGTAGAGTTATTATTATATCCTAAATAATTAATGTCATACCCTTTTAATATAAAATACTCATTATACCATTACATTATACTTTTTCTTAAAATTCTACATTTTTTTATTTCTTAATAAATTAAAAGTATAATAATAATATATATTAAAGCAAAA